AAGTATAATTTGGCCTACCTGACTTCAAATCATATAATTTGATAATCTTATATGATCATAATTTATTAAGACAATAAATTATAATTTATTAAGACACTAAATTATAATTATATAAGATTATATAAGAAATATAACCACTTTGTCTTTAAAATCCACACATAAGTGGACATAAAGCAGTTAAACAACACAACCTCTATGAGGCAGCCACTGGTTAGTTGTAGCTGTATTTACTGAGGCCAAAGAGTACATTTGCAAGTGGTATACAAAAATAATAATAATAATAATAATAATAATAATAAACATAGGGAACATATTTTCGGGGATAATGCAATATCCTTGAGAAGGCACCTATCCTTTCTTCCACAGTAAAGCAAAGAAAGTTTTATTTTTAAAGGTAGATGGCATAGGCCTGTTTTTAAAGAGAAGGCCAAAGAGTTCCCCTTCCTTGAGGTACAATTCTGTGCAAATCTTAACAGATTATAGGAACAGAAGCAACGAGGTACAGACATGAGACTGATGAATATCCTCTCATACAAAACCTTTATTTTTTAATTGAAGTAATAAATAACTTACAGTGTTATATTAATTTCAGATGTAAAATGTAATGATTTAACAATTCTATACATTGCCCAGTGCTCATCACAATAAATGTACTCTTAATCCCCTTGCTCTGTTCACCTACCTCCCCTTTGGCAACCACCAGTTGGTCGTAAAATCTGTACTTTTAATAATTGCAGACGAGGAAATTAAATGAATGAGAATGGTCTATAGGCATCACATTGGAACGAAAACACTTCAGCATGGCCCAGTCTGGAGTGGACAGAGGAGCAGGAGTGACAGAGTTGAGGGGCAGAAGAAGCATAGGACATGGGCAAGATGAGGTAAGAAACAGCCTACTCCATCAGTAGGGCCCTGGCCCAGTTCATTACAGTGGACTTCTCACTATCCTTCCCACACACCAGATGATCAATCCAGGCTAACTGCGGTGATTCCATTCACTTTGCCAATAATTGGCTTAGGAAAGGGGCTTGTGACCCAATAAGAAAATGTCTGCTGAAAATGACAGAGTGGGTGAATGGAAACAACTTCAGAATTTGATGACATTGTTGAATTATTGATAAAGCCATCTTGAATCCTCCCCTACTTCGGACTTCCATTCATGTCAAATAATGTTTCCTTATGCTTAAGCCAGTTTATTTGTTTATTTATTGAAAATCTGATTGGCTTTATTAATTGGCTCAGGAAATCGGGCAGCACTCCATCAAGTAGAGGGAAGCTCCCAAGCCAGTTAAATCAGTTTTTTCCATTATTTATTAACCAAGAATTCTCTAATTGAAATAATTAATGAGATATATTGGGTATTTCAACAAAACTCTTGCAGGGTATATTTTTATTACAGTTTCCTTAATGTATATTTATACTTAAGTTAATAGAGCCTTGTTCATTCTATAATTTGGGTTCTCTTCTCAACTAATAGCTCTTTCTCAAGTCCTAACTCAAGAATTCCTTTATATGTTGTTTAGTTGAGAGGCATCTGAATTAACCTACCCTAAAAAACTTTGCAACCAAGATACTGGTGCTCAGAATGGAAGGATAAGCAAGCAACATCACCACAGAATAATGCTTAAAACATCTATGCATGTGTCACATATGATTCCTTCTAGATTATGTAAAAAATGAGCTAATAAAGATGTCATCAACTAGTCAATTTGACATTCCTAATAATGTGGCCAGAAAATGAACAGAATATATAAAGAACTTCTTTATTCCTCTCGCTCTTCTGCCAACTGATGACTATCTTATTAATGACTATATACTCTCCATTCTGTACTGGCAATTGGGAGCTAAGTATTCACCATGGATATTAATATTCATGTTGCTGGAATTAGGAACTATGGGTATTAAAGAATAATCCAGTTATTTCAAGGATCTTGATCTTGATCTTCAGCCACTATTGCTGAAGCTGAAAAATACAGGTCTTTCAGAAAGAATATCCTTGGGTTAAAATTTGACTTTTTAGAGTAGCATGGCAAGAACAGCACTACAATGAATGTGGTCTATGGCAAATTTGAATAGTAAGGTGAAGTGGGGTGGCCGTATCATATAATTTGATAATCTTATATGATTATGATTTATATATATAATAAAGAATAAAGAATTATATATATTATATATATAAATATATAAATTATAATTATAATAAAAAGAAAACCTAGGGTTTCTTACATCCTCTGGGGCCCTTTGTATGTCTTGGGAGAGCTCTGTCTTTTTGTCAGGACTCTTTTATCCTTAGTGTGACCTTAATAATAGCATATAGGTAACAAAGGGAGAAATATAGTAGGGGAGATATTAATTCTCGGACCCAGCATTTTTAGGAATCCATTCTTTCCTTCTACATTTGTAGTCTTTCTATAGTGCTTTAGTACCCCTAAGTGCACCTCATCGCACATCTTAGCTCTTACAATACCTTGACCTCTGTTACTTCCCACTTGAAATAAATCTCATGCTCCTGTCAAGTTGCCTTTCTTGTCCACAGTTCTTATTTATTACCCTCATGACAGCTAGAATGATTCCTTGAAAATATTTGCATAGCATATTGTGTTTCCTCCTCTTACTCTCAACTCTTCCATATCCTTATATCTTGATGTGCTTCTGGTAAGTAGCATGCAATTGAATTCTGTTTTCTTACCCAGTTTGACAATTTTTTATTTTAATTAGAACATTTACTTTACTTACATTAAATATAATTATTGATATGTTTTGGTTTATATCTACCATCATAATGTTTGTTTTCTATTTGTTTCTCCTGTTCTATGTTCTCTTTTCTCTCATTTCCTGTCATCTTTTGGGTTGATTTTATTATTGTCAATATTCCAATTTCCTCCCTCTATTAGTTATATGTTCTTTTATTATTCTTTTGCTGCAGAGATTATAGTATTAACTTGCCAAAGTCTAATATACTATTAGTTGATATTTTACCCTCTTACCAGAAATGTAAGAGCTGTAGAATCTTGAAACTCTATTTGCTCTCTCCTTACTTATAGGGTATTTTTGTATTTTAATTTCATATTTATTGAAAACTCCACAATAAATTATTGTTATTTTATAGTCAATATTTATTTATGCTTACTCACATATTTACTCTTCTCATTCCTCTTTATTCTGTCTTGAATTTCTGGGCTTCTATCTGTGATCATTTTCTTTTCACCTAAAAAAATATCTTTTGTATTTTCTTTATTATGAATCTGTTAATATGAATTTTATTGATATTTGCTTGTCTGGATATTTATTTCAGTTTCATTTTTGAAGGATATTTTCATTGGATGTGTAATCCTAGGTTGACAGTTATTTTCTTTCAGCATTTTAGATTAATTAATCATTTTCTTCTGGCTTCCATAAGTCTATGAAGAAGTTAGCTATCAGTTTGTTGTTGCTTTGAAATTTGTTGCTCCTTTTTTTCCCAGATGATTTTAAGATTTTTTTCTCCTTGTCTTTGGCTTTACTATGATGAATCTAGGAATGGAATTCTTTTATTTATCCTGCCTGGGTTCATAGAGATCCTTGAATATAGGGCTTAATATCTTTCATAAATTTTGAAAAATTCTTAGCCATTTTCTCTTCAAATATGGCTTCTGCCCCATTCTCCTTCCTGCTTTCCTGTAGGGGCTCCAATTGTATGTATTTTGGACCTTCTCACTGTAAGCTCTATGTCTCTTATCCTCTGTTCTGTATTTTCCACATGCTTCTCTCTCTACATTCTGGATATTTTCTTCTGCTCCATCTTCCAGTTCACTAAATCTCCTTTTAGCTTTGTCTAATCTGTTATTAATCTTTTCCATTGAGTTCTTAATTTTAGTTAGTTATTGCATTTTTCAGATATAAATTTGGGGGGGCTCATTTTTAGGTTTTCGGTTTCTTCTAAAAGCTCGGTCTTTTAATTATTCTGACATAGTAATTACAGCTATTTTTAGGTCTGTGCTGGATGGAGCCTCAGGGGGTCTATTTCTATTTTCTCTTGCTTTCTAGGATTCCCTCATGTCTCCCTTTGTGTATTTGGCTATTTTGGGTGTTGTAATGTTTTTACAGAAATTTGTTTTTATAAGCAGCAAGGGGCTCTAGCAATCCAAACTCATGATTAAGCTGATTTGAAGCAGGTATTCAGTCCCTGTGGAAGTCAGTTGACTCCTAGGTCACCCTTACTTCTATAATATAGCCTACTGAACTATCCACCTAAAGCCTAAATTGTTTACTAGGTTTATTCCCCACCCTTTTGTGATTTAACTTTTTTTGCCTTGTTTTTACAAGCCTGTCAAAAACACTCATTTCTCAATTTCTCAGCCACTTCTTCCAGAATTGGTAAAGGCTCTATAAGAAAAGTTCCATAACTGCCAAGCTTATGTCTGTGATTTGTTTTCTCCTGGAACTTGGCCCTGTAATTCTTAATTAACTTGTTGGTTCTCTAATGCCTTCAAGGTTTGTTTTTTTTTTCCCCCCAAACATTTTGTCCAAGGTTTTGTTTTTATTATTGTTCTCAGTGGAGTGTTTGTTCAAATTACCTAGTCTACCAGTCCAGAAGTAAAAAAGCTGATCCTTTAAAAACATAAGTCAAATGATGACACTGAAACTCTTCATAAATAAAATAAAAGTCCAGTGAATTTACAGTGGTCCAGAAGGTCCTGTGCCATCTGGATCCAGGCTACCTCTCCAAATTTATTACCTCCAACTCTCAAATAACTTTCCAAAAATCTAATGATCAACTCAATGTACATTTCTAAAGTAGAAAGGCCATGTGATATGTCTGTTTTATAATCCCCATAGCATGTAGCATATTATCCAAGCAATATATCAGTTATGATTAAATTTGAATATATGCAAAAAATAAAGCCCCAAATAGTGGCTTGAACTAGACAGTTTATTTCCTGCTTCCATGGAAGAAGTCTGGAGATAGGCAGTGCAAGATATTATGAGGGCAGCAAGTATCAGGAACCCAGGCTTTTTTAAATCTTGTTGCATTACTCCACATGGTTTCCATTCCCAAAGTTCATCTATGGCCTAAGATGGTGCTAAAGTTCCTGATAGTGGCTGTAAAAACGAAGAGGGAAGTAAAAGAGTGCCCCTCCATTTTAGCAGACTTTTCAGAAGACATAATATCTCTGCTTTCTTCTGATCACCTAGTCAGTCATGTGGCTTTACCTACCTATAAGGGCAACTCAGAAATGTAGACTTTTAGCTGTAAAGCAGTGGGCTAAGCTAAAAATTTGAGGTACTTTTAGTAATGAAGGGGAAATAAGATACTGGTATGCAATTAGCAATCTCTGCTACAAACATTAAGCACATTTCCCCCTAAAGTTTCTTGAATTGTCTCTTTTTCTTGGTCTTGATCACCTCAACTACTGCTCAGATACTAATTCATTCAATGCTTACATCATTAAAATACACGATTTCAATCTTCCAAAGATATTCCCTGCAAAATCCTACAACTGAAACTTCTCCACCAAGTAAAATAACTTACCTTTTTCTTATGCAAACCTAGAAATACTATTTCTTTAATAAAACCTTTTTTTTTTGGCAAAATGAGAGATGGGAAAATTTCCCCTGAACACCCACAGTTGTCAGTCATATATTTTCAGTGAATTTACTCTGGTCTACTGAATGTGAATGGTTCTCTTCATTAGTCCATATCTGTGGTTAATTTATGTGGTGTGAGTGTCACTGTCTTAGTCCACGTGGGCTGCTATAACAAAATAACAGACTTGGTGGCTTATAAACAACAAAGTTATAGCTAGTTTGGAGGCTAGGAAGGCCGAGATCCAGATACAGAAGATTCAGTGTCTGATGAGGATCTGTTTTCCGCTTCATAGATGGCCATCTCTTTGCTATGTCCTTCTGTAGGAGAAAGGGTAACAGATGTCTCTGGGTCTCTTTTATAAGGGCACTAATCTCATTCATGAAGGGTACACCTTCATGACCTAATCACCTCCTAAATGTCCCACCTCCAAATACCATCCAAATACCTTTGGGGATTAGGTTTCAATATATAAATTGGGGGAGGACACAAACATTGAGTCTATAGCAGCCATTGTCTGTGAACCTTTAATGTGTTTCTTGGTACCAATACTTTCTATATTGGATTTTGCTTAATGTGCTTCCTTACCACTAGAAAGTAACCTCCAAATGGTAGGAAGCATGTCTGTTTTGCTCCTGTGTCTAGCATCTAGCATGGTGTGTGGAGCATAGTAGGTGTTCATTACATATTTCTTGGAAGAAGGAGAAATTTAACCGTTACTGCACACCTATTCTCTGCCAGGTAGTACAATAAGTATTTTGCAAATATAATTTTATGGATTCTTCAGAATAGCCAAATGTGGTAAGAATTATATCTCCTTTCACAAATGAGGTAAATGAAGCTTGAAGAAGATAAATAATTAAACTAATTCATAAAGCCAGAAAGAGGTGGATCTGAGGACTGACCTATAACCTTTTTCTCCTTTGTAAAGTCTCATTTTACTCCGGCTTGTTTCTGTCAGCCAGGTGGGCTGTTCCCTGGCTTCCTCTGATAACAGGTTGATTGATTTCATGATAAGATGGAAACAGCAAATAGTAGATTATTATCCTTTTAGTGACAAATTCCTGAAAGTCTCCTTGCTTTAACTAAAGGAATTCAGTTATAACAATTAGATTATAGGCATAATGGTAGGCAGTTGAGGGAATTGCTGGCTTAAAAAGGATAGATTCAGGAACATGTCCTCAAAAATCAAACAATGTGGATATTTCCCTATGCCGGCTAACACCAATCACCCACAAGGATCCATTGTTTAGGTGATATGATTTTGATATTAGGAGCTCTAGGAAAAGCAGAAACAATGACAAAAATTTCAGCCACGGTATCAGATAAACTTTAAAGGGTAAGGAAAAGGCAAGAAAGGCAGAAAAGACAGAGGGAAAAAGAAGAGAGGGAAACATACACAAAAGAACAGAAAACATACAAAACAGTGAAGTGGAGAGGGGGAAAGAATGGCGTCCATTTGTTTTGTTGTTGTTTTGGGTTTACTTCCTTTAGCTACTCAGCTTTCAGTCCTCATTCTTCCAGTAATAGCATCCCCATTTACCTATTGGTAATTCCATCCTCACTTTTGGATACCATCTGGTGGGACTGTTGTTTGGAGACCTGCCTTCCCCCAGGCCCTGAGTGAGGAAGAGTTGAACCCGGCTAAACCAGTTAAATGCTCTCTTCCTGGAATCAAAATCTTTTGTTTCAGATGCAGCTGTTGATAAGTTCATGCTGTGGAGACTCCTGAGCTGTTTGGGTCTGTCCTGAACCCCTGGGTCTTCAGCTCCTCTTCTCAATTCTCGGAGCTTCCCCAATTTACCCAATAAATTCCTTTCTGGCTTGAGTTTACCAGAGGCAGCTACTGATGTTTGCAATCAAAGAAGAGGAGCTGATACAGTCAAGGAAGGAGGGAGGTGGAAATAAATGCTGAAATTAAGATCTGGGATGAGATCCATTGAGAATCTATTTTTAGTTCCCCAAACACTAGGTACTGGGTACAAACCTAGTTCAAATCGGAAACAAAGTATAAATTCGTGTTCCATCATCTTAGATCTCTAGGAGCAAATATACTCACTCTATAAAGTAGCAGAGGGTTTCCAAAAGGTGAGAGTAATATTCTTTTCCAAGGATAGCCTATTGAAGGATTGACATTTCAATTTGGGTTACTGAAAAAGGATGTGTTTCCTGAAAGGCAGAGATTTACCTTCGTTTTTACTTTACGAGATCTTTGTGTCTTTGATAATTTCACATCTTAGGCATGACTAAAGGATTTTTCCATTCAAATCACCCTCCTTCAACTTGGCTAGTCCCTCCTCCCTCCCCATGGGATTCTTTCTTTTCACTGCCGGGGATTAAATTCTCTGTGAAAGCCTTGAAGGCTATAGACATCTGTACTGGAAAGGAGATACAAAACTGTCCAAAAAGAGAGAAGCACTCCCAAAGCTTAAGTGAGAAAATAATTGAACTCTTATTCATACTGGAAAAAAGTCTGGTTTCAAACTGAGTTTCTTATTGACTTTTTTTTGTCATAAAAGGATCATCGTTTGTGTTGAATAAGAAACGGTTATTGTTCTATTTTACCAAAGATGCTAAGTTTGCATGTTTTAAACATCAAACAAACATCTCCATAGAGAATGGCTTGCTGCCAATTTCTGGTGAGCCGGCCAGACTTTCAGAGAGGCCCACTTATACCAGTTCTGTGTTGGTGGGTGAGCAATTCAAGACAGAAGGCTGAATTAGAATTCAGTCCTAATCCTAGGGATGATGGTTTTATTAGGTCTTAGCCTCATGGTCAGAACACAGTCCCACATCACTTTAGTAGCTCAGATCCATTGCTCTCTCCTCAGGCCATGCACGTGACAGGCATGGTGTTGTTAGCTATGTGCAAAGAGCAGATGCCATGAGTACAAATGAAAAGGACCCAGAGTATATAGTGTAGACCTTAACTATCAGTACTAATCTCTCCACCTTATAATTATCTTACATTAATATTATATTCTGGCATCTGTTGTGTGGAGTCCTATGTTGTACCAAACGAAACTGTCAGTTTAGACGTGATAAAGGGGATCATGTAAAAATGATATATTATCAGAACTCTATCATCTCAATATTAGGCGTTGTTCAGTCTATTTATCTAACAACTCATGGGAAGCCTGAGGCGGGAAATGAAGGAATATGGTCCATAGAGGAGAACTGAGCTCTGGATATTAACTCTTAGAAAATAACCCCCTGAAAATGTCTTCTCTTTATGTTTATTTGCCATGGGAAATGGTGTATTTCTTTGCTCTGTGTGAAAATTCAGCTTGGGGAAAGAAAAAATCACATAGGTTATTATGTCAGGTCTCCCAAATGGTTATAGGACTGACCCCTTCAGTAAAACACCTCAGGGTTCTTTGCTTTTCTTATAATTGCTCGGGCTTTAGTTCTATTGAAAAGTGACTGGAAAAGCTATTCTATGAAATGACTCTTTAATATTTGATAAATGAGTCCGTCTTGTGGGCCTAGATTGTTGCAGCTGTCATGCTTCTCAGCTGAGACTGTGCATGCTCACATGGGATGGTCATTAAGCAAACCTTTTAAGATGACAGGACTTCAGTTCTTCTGTCTCATTTCCCAGAAAGAAGAATAATGGAATGAAGTCTGGAGAGTTAAAAGGGAAAGAAAAGGATGGGCACCCTTCCCCCACCACAGCTTGCTAACCTAGAAAGGCAACATAATTTGTGGTAAAGAGCTGCATTCTAAGTGGCAAAGTAAATAGGAGGTATTTATTTCTACATCTTCATGACAGTTTAATGAGATAGGAGGAGATTATTATTATTAGGCCCTTTCTGATTTGAGAAAATGGAGACAAAGGGATGCTGGAAAATATATTAAATATTACACTTAATCTGAATTAAAAGACCAGAACTTGCTCAAATATCTTAGTTCAGGGAAATGAACCTCCAGCTGGAGAGTGAATTGGACAATATAGATACTAGATACTCACTTTTGTCTGGATCCAGACGTTATTTCCATTCTAGTCCAAGTGAGGTTTGCTTTTAACCACAGACTAAGAGAGCTCTGGTCTCTCCCCAGAGAAATTAGACTGTCAGACCTCTCCCCTGGATTTCTCCTTCCTGCCACACACTCCCACACCCCATGCATACTACACATACCTACCAGCTGCCCACCAGAACCAGCTGCCTCAGGACAGGGCTGTCACGGGAAGTCTTCCTATGGATGGACAGCCCTTGGCAACAGCGTGGATGCTCGGCAAGAGTGTCCATTTGGCTTCGGTTCTGGCTTTGGGCTCTGACCCAGGTCTGGCAAAATAATACATACCCATTGTAGAAAACATGAAAAGTACACAGGATTTTAAAAAATTGCTTATAATCTCACCCCCCAGAGTGACCACTGTCCATATATTGGTATAATTTAAAAATTTTAAATTTAGATAAAATTTAAACATTTTATCTAAATAAAATATAGAAGTGTTCATTTAGTTGGGGGGGGGTCACACTATATATGCCATTTGGAATCCTACTTTACTTTTTTTTTTAACTGTGTATGTGAGCATTTCTCCATGTTATAAAAAACATTTTTTTGTAATTGCCACACACCATCTATGATATAAAAATTAATGATTATAGAGATCAAGGAGAAACCACAACACTGAAGGAGGAAAAAGGAAACAACCTAAAAGATGAAGATGGAGGAATGACTGTTCTAATTAGCAATTTGCAGATCCTAAACATTATGGAGGAGGGTGTTCAAGGAAGAGATTAGGAACTGGTACATAAGGAATGAAGCTGCTTTGATAAATGTATAAAATAACAAAAAGATAGTTGTTAGGAAAGGCATAATATATAATATTTAAACACCAAGAAAACAATTGCTATTGTGCAGCATTGAAATATATTGATAATGTTAATTAGTTAAAAATTTATTAAATAATAAAAGGGAAATGCCTGCATTTTAAAGATTTTTTAAAAAATTGTCAGAGAGAGCACAAGCAGGCAGAGCACAGGCAGAGGCAGAGGGAGAAGTAGGCTCCCTGCTGAGCAAGGAGCCTGATGCAGGACTCAATCCCACAACCCTGGGATCATAACCCCATATGAAGGCAGCTGCTCAACCGACTGAGCCACCCAGATGTCCTGGAAACACCTACATTTTAAAAAGAAGCCTAGAGGAAACCGGCGAAAAGGAGCTCCTTAAATTGTAAGAATAATATTCTTAACGTGGCATTGCAGGTTCTGACATTAGATTCCCTTTGTGAGCTTTAGTGAGAAGTTAGAAAAAGAGGTAGACAGGATGTTAAAGGCTGAACTGTCGAATTCCTCCCCACCCATGCCAAAGATTATTCTCAAGGACAAGAAAAAAATGTGGCAGTATTGACCTCTAGCAAAGTAGTTTGTGTTCACTGGAAATTGTTCCTGATACCACCAGCCCCTCCCTCCTTTGTTTCTGAGCCATCTCCCTCTTCTCAGTTACAGCCCAGGGGTGGGAGAGAGCTGGGAGGACAGGGCACTGGAGAAGACTATGGCTAATTGCAAAGATAATGGGCTGGGGCTCAGACAGAAGATGCCTTCCAATCCAGGCATTGTCACTTCTAACTTTGTCACCGGGGCAAGTGACTCAGACTGTCTGGGATTCCCTTTCCCCCTTTATACAGTGGAGATAATAATATCTTACTTCTTATAGGATATTAAATGAAAGTTGGTTGTTGTTCTTTATACTTTGTTTTTATTTGTCCATATATTTCAGTCTCTCCCACCCCCACTTTTTTTGACCATGGAGTTGTAGCTCATTTCAACAGTGATTCTGGTTTCTTGTTCATTTCATCTTTATCATTAATTACCTGAATTTGTGCTACGATAAGCTAGGGAGTTTCCTTCATCTTAGTACTTGTCATTTGATGTTTAATAAAGCTCATAGGTGGCACTAATAATATTCTTTAAACATTCATTAAACAAAAATTCCCTCAATAAATTTTTTATTGAGAACCTAATATGTGCTAAGCACTCTGTCAAATGATATGGCTAGAAATTAATAAATCCTAGCTAGATAAGAAAATCAAAGAGACGATGTCCAATATATTCAGAGAAAGGTGTAGACAACTACTTTTAAAATGTATAAGGCTGGTAAAAATTGGATTCTCAGTATAATATAAGTTAATAACAATATTAGTTTAATTTTAGGAAACTTTCTGATAGGGTAAGAATATGAATTTAGAAATTAGAAAGGTAAAATGGAGTGGTAATAAGGAGACTTAATTTCAGCCCATGCATTAGCTATACAATTTTGAGGAAGACATTTAATTTTTCTTGACTTTAGTGTCTTTATCTGTACAATGGAATTTGGGGTCACAAACTAAAATAAATCAAATATTCTCCTCAATAACTCATGGGTTCAAGAGGAATTTACAGTGGAAATTATAATTAGAATGGTAATTAGGAAGGTAATGGTAATTAGTATTAGAATGAAATACATGTATCTAAATGAATTTAATATATAAGATTGAAAATAATTGAGTTACATGTGCATCTCAAAAAGCTAGGAAAAAACAAAGTTGGAAAAGAAAATAACGAAATTAACAATGAAAAGTAAGAAAATTAAAAAATAATAAAAATATAGATTATTAACAAAACCAAAACCTCATTTTTGGAAATAATCCAGACAAGGCAATTTGTGGAAATTGGCAATTTATGGAAATTGATGAGCTAAGCTCACTTATAAATTTAGGTGCAAAATTTCTAAATTAAGTACTAACAAATCATACTCAATACTGTATTACAAATGCAGTGTGATTAATGGTACAGACATTATGGAAAACATTTCTTAAAAAAAATTAAAAATACAATTACTGTATGATCGAACTATCTCACTTCTAGGTATATGTCTAAAAGAATTCCAAGAAGATCTTATTAAGGAGAACATTCGCACACCCATGTTCACTGTAGCACTATTCACGAGAAGGAATCAACTCCAATACCGATCAACAGATGAGTGAATAAAGAAAATGTAGAACAGACCGGTAAGGGAATATTATGCAGCCTTAAAAAGAAAAAAGGAGGGAAATCTTGTCACGCACACTACAACATTGATGAATCTTGAGGATGTTATGCTAAGCGAAATAAGCCAGTCACAAAAGAATACTGTATGATTCAACATATTTGAAATGTCTAAAGTAGTCAAAATCAAACAGAGAATAGAAAGGCGGTTGCCAAGAGCTGGAAAGAAGAGAATTAGGGTTTACTGGGTATAGAGTTTCAGTTTTGCAAGATGAACATGTTCTAAAGATCTGCTGCACAACAACGTGAATATGCTTAACACTATTGAACCATAAAATGAACCCTTAAATATGAACCCTTAAAAATGGCTGAGAAGGCAAATTTAATGTTATGTGTTTTTACCATCTCACTGGCATGAGATTATGTGATTATGGCATAGTGGATTAAGAAAAAAAGTGATTATGGCACAGCAGATAATACTTAGACACTGGAGTGAAATCGCCTGGGTTCCAATCCTAGTTCTACCACTTATCTAAGTAACTTTGGTAAATTACTCTTCTGTTCTTTCTTTTCTTTTCTTTTTTTTTTTTTTTAAGATTTTATTTATTTATTTGACAGACAGCGATCACAAGTAGGCAGAGAGAGAGGAGAAAGCAGGCTCCCTGCTGAGCAGAGAGCCAAATGCGGGTCTAGATCCCAGGACCCTGGGATCATGACCTGAGCCGAAGGCAGAGGCTTTAACCCACTGAGCCACGCAGGCACCCTGTTCTTTAGTTTCTTATTAAAGTAAAAATAAAAATAGATCTTAACCCCCCAACCCAAATAACAACAACAAAAACACATCATGAGCAAGTAGGTTTATCCCAATATCTATCATTCTAATCCACTGTATTAAGCGGTAAAAGGATCAGTAGATGCAGAAAAATGTTAAAATTCAACACTTGAAATGTGTTTCTCTATAACTTATGTGGCTTTTCTTTCTCTTCCTTTAGGCCTCTGCTGAAATGTCATCTTATCAGTGAGGCCTTTTCAGACCACCCTGTGTGCACTGACACCCTATTGTGCCATGTCCCCTAACCCTGCTTTAGTTTTCTTCACAGAAGCACTTCCTAGGCATAAAAGATAATAGAAGAAATGATAAAGATAAAAACAAACAAATTTGACTACTTAATAAGGTAACACTTCTGTATGCCAAAAAAACCCCCACAAAAAACAATAAATAAAACTAAAAGGCAAATTTCTTTTTTTTTAAAGATTTTATTTATTTATTTATTTATTTGTCGGGGGGCGGGGAGAGAGAGAGAGAGAGAGTGCGCACAAGCAGGCAGAGCGGCAGGCAGAGGTGGAGAGAGAAGCAGGCTCCCCGCCGAGCAAGGAGCCCGATTCAGGACTTGATCCCAGGACCCTGGGACCATGACCCGAGCCAAAGGCAGCGGCTTAACTGACTGAGCCACCCACACACCCCTAGAAGGCAAATCTCAAAACAGGGGACAGTATTTACCAGCAATATAACTGGAAAAGGGAAATGAGTTCATCATCATCATCATAATTTATAGAAAGAGTAGGCAAAACCTGTATAGAAAGAGTAAACAGATTAGTTCATCCACAGAAAATGAATTAGTGACTTAAATATTTAAGAAAAAACCTTCAACCTCACAGAGAGGTTAAGAAATTTAAATAAAGGGTTGTCTTTACATCCTAATATATAGTTTTCTATTTGCAGTATTTTAATATGCTGAGCCTACTATTTTTATAAGTGACAAATAAGAAAAGTTGTATAAAAAAGATTTTTATTAGGAATGTCCATTTAGGCTTAATGTATGTGATTCTTTAATTCTTTAAATAGCTTTATTTAATATTGTACGTAACATAAATTTTACCTTGACACTGAAATAAGATGATTGGTAGACAACATACAGAACAACCATATATTGTTGGTTGTAAAAGATACAGGTTAACAGCATGGATGACCCTTAAAGGCATTATGCTTAAGATATAAAATGTCCAAAAGAGGGCAAATATACAGAGACAGAAAGTAGATTAGTGGTGCCTAGGGTTGGGAGTGGGAATAATGAATGAGTGTAAATGGATGGGAATGAAATTTCTTCTAGGGGTGATGGAAATGTCCTAGCAGTAATTAATGGTTGTACAGCTTTGTAAATATACCAAAATTCATTGAATTCTACACTTAAAACAGGTGAATTTTATGGTATATGAATATTTCAGTTGTTTAAAAAGATTAGTTTAAAAGACTTTAGCCATATAGAACACACAATCTCAATTTGAAGTGACATC